CAATTTCCCCTATTACAGTCTTTATTTGTCTCGTTCTCACACACACGCGCGCTTACACAGACAGACGCGCATATATATATATATATACAAACCTGTACTATAACTGTTATTCTATATGGGAATGTTATTATAAAAATAGTAATTTACTACCGACGCTAACGTCACTAAGTTAACGCAAGACTAATCACTTGATACGACAAGTGCATGCCCCTTAATTCATAGCAGAATATGGTTGTTATTGAAGCTACTGTTAGCGAATATGTACGTACATACCGGCTCTCTGCAACACACACTAACGCCAGCTTTCTAGCTTCGGCTTTGAGCAGCAAATACCAATGAGTAAACCAGTTGCAGGTTTTATAATAAACTACACTATTTTGTGTGGAGGGTGCGGTGGCGTGCGTCACTAAGCGGACATGGGGAATCCATTTCCGGACTTTGATAAGCCATAGGGATGCGGACTTGGATACGATGTTGGATTTTTTTATACCCCCTGTTTTTAAAGCAGTTTCAATGTATTTTTACGTTTAAAGGAATTTGCAGCCAAAAACCGGCGTTAGAAAGCTGGCGTTGAGGTGAAAAGGAAAGACTGTAATATGGGAAATTATTATACACCCCACAATAAAATGATTTGTGAATATATCAAAGAGTCTTAGGCATATATCAAAGTCAGCTGCGCATGAAGTTTTTTTTCATCCGTATGATCTTATAAGAGTCTGTATTAAACTAAGGAATTGCGTCTCAACATCTGAATAGTTTTATCGCTGGCTTGTTATAAAACATTCTAATACATAACCTATTACTAGGATCGTGCAAAAGTATGATTAGCTGGTATTATATGTGGCAGAGAACACAGTAATGGTATTGAGATTATGAATATTTTCTCCTGGTAGCAAACATCATGAGTAAATGAATGGATTGCGGTGGTAAGGGCCAAGCTGATGTCGATCTCTAAGCGACTCTTATGAAAGCGTAATTTCGTAAAAGAAAAAGTGGACAACTTTTAAACGCATCTAAGCACAAAAAGTTAATCAATTTGCGAAAGGCAAGATATATGTTACAATTCGAATTTCTTGTAGCTCTTGTCGCAACTAAATTGTTAATCGCATTATAATGCTAATTACTATCAATCAGAGGAAAGATGTGCTTTTGGGCGTAATTTTATACTAAATCTTGTTCTCTCGGATATCTTAAAGTAAAATGATTCGTTTCACTGGAATATCGTTAACAGCATCGGTGAAGTGGAACCGGAGACCAATAACTATAGATATGACAGCTGTCTCATAGCATTATGTATTTGACATTATTAGATTTGATTTGATTGACATTTCGACCGTTAGCGAATATACCCACACCTTCTTCCCAAGGATAGATTCTAACGATAGCTCTTGGAACACAATACTGACAAAGAAGATCAACTACCAGTTGTTTTTTTATAAAATATAGAATTCTTCGAGTGGGGCAGCCCTAGGTACCGCGAAAACGTAGAACTATTCAAGTAGAGAATGGCCCCTAAATTTAATTGACACGTCGCCACCAACATAAATGCATTTTCCATGTTCTCATAATGAGTTAGACCGTCATATCATATATGTCTATGTTTAGTCATATATATTTTAGTAATATATGTATAATATATGTATAATAGTCATGTGTTATATAAATCTATAGTCATACGAACAGTGTTGCTATAATCAACGGGTAAGTAGCTAAAAACACAGCATAGGGGGTAAGTATTCGATAAATTGTCAATAATTCAGCGTGCAATTATTTACTACGGAAAGAAATTTCTTCGTCAACTTTTTCGTTTACAAAAATGAAAAGACCGAGCATCAAGAATGCCTCAGAAATCAACGACAGGAACAACATTTCGCACAGCATCACTCATTTATTTCACAGTATAGATCACTAAGCTTTACGGTGACAATAGTAGATATATTCTCTGCAATATATAACATCAAACATATATATATCACGACTAGTAGTGATATACGGGATCGTACAAGAAAATGAGAGATGCACTCGATAGTTTAATCTTAACTGTACCTACGCGTGCGTGTTTTTTTAATTTTCATTATTGTTGCATGATCGTAGTCCCTATATGTGTGCATATTGTTACGTATCTGACTATTCCCAACCACGTGTATTTGACTTACAGCCGAATATATATTTTTTCGAGAAGGAAAACACATTTTTTTCAACGTCTTAAAACATTTTTGCAGTGAATGAAAAAATTCCAAGAGAACAGTAAGAGTTAACTTTACACAGGCATTTCAAGACTTCGCCACGTTTTTTTCATGATGTACCTGCACTGTCTTCAAAATTATAATAGAACAGCTAAACATTCCAAAGTTTAGTTGGGATATCGGTCAATGTAGATGCCAATAAAGTACGATAAGTTGTATATAGAAAGACAAGCAAGATATTTCATTAGGAATAATAATGACAATATGTAGAGAGTGCATACCTTCAGTCGTTGTATTTTATCGCTATGATAAACATTTAGTATTTTCAAGTGCTTCTACTGGCTTTCTCGTTGTGAGTTAGATAAACGTAAGAAGAACCAGCCCAATAGTGACTAGTCTAGTTTAAAAAAGCATATCTTAGTTTATGTGAATGGCGATATAGTCAACACACGAGGAAAGCATGAAGGCTACACTTTTACCATAGCTAGTATACATATCAAAATTAACTAATAATTCTAAATTAGATTGTGTCCTTCTCGGTAGTAATAACTAGCTAGCCTAATTTCAGGTTTCTATCCTGACTGGACTTTGTGTGTAGCAGCTGCATAAATTGCCCCCCAGCCAACCTCATTAAACAGATGCAGAATGTCTCTATTCCTACGTTACGTTAATCTGCATGGATTATGTGTATCGATATACACATATATATCGTATAATAAACTAATACAATTAATAAAACGTCGTGTAGCCTACGTTTTCAGTTTGTATTTACGTACTCAGGAGCTGTTTTTAAATACCGTTGTCTGTTCCATGTGTGGCGGTGGTACCGGTTGCCGCGAGCCCTGTGCTCGCCGGGGTTCTAATTACTGGTGCCGCAGACCTGTCGGTGGGCTTAGGGTGTTTTTGTCAGACGACGTTTCCCGGGGGGCGGGGGCGGTTCGCGATGCCGCCGAAGGGTGCCCAGGCGAAGAGACAGGTGGCAGTATTTTCATCGGGCCCTACTGAGTTTGGGGTTGGTGTGCAGGGGCGCGCTACGCGTAGTAGGGGGATGGTGAATGATGAGTTGACTCCGCCGACATCCTTAGCCCCGAGTACGGGGCGTGAGTTGGTGAGAACTCCCCCTCGTCGACGAGATTCATTCTCTAGCCTTGTTGATCTCGACGAAGCAGCAGCGGCACGCGCTGCTTGGTCGCCGTCAGTCGCTCGGGCTACTATTAGCCCTGCACCGCGCGCCAGGTGTGATTCTACTTGGGCCGAGGAGGGCCCATATTCTGCTCGCACGAGGCGAGCGAGTAATCTGCTGGGTGTGGGTCACCTTGAGGGCGACCCATTATTTTCTCACCATGGGGGTGATGCGGTATTTTCTCACCGAGAGTGTGAGGTAATGGGTTTCCATCGTTAGGGTGGGTTACCTACGTCTGCTGGTGGTGGGGGGAGTGACAGGCATTTTGCATCCCCCTTCGTGAGGGAATCTGGGGGGTTCCCTCGGTCAGCTACGAAGAGTAGGGTAAAGGTGAAGCTCTTCACGGGTAAGGAGGGTGTGCCGTTAGAGGGTTTTCCCAGACAGTTTGACCTGATATGCAGGCTCAATGGGTGGTGCGCTGAAGAGAGGTTAGTGCAGTTAGTGGGGGCACTGGAATGGCCGGCGTCCTCCGTTCTAGAAGACTGTGATGTCGACGTCGATGAGTCAATGGTGTGACGCGCTTTGATAGCGCGTTTTCAACCTCTGGGTAGTGCACTGGGGAGGAGAGCAGCCCTACGAGACTGCGTTCGCCAGCCTGGGCAAAGTTGGCGTGAGTATGCCCGAGAATTAAAGAGGCTGACTTTAAGGGCACAACCTTTTCTCACTTTGGAGCAAGCGACTGAACAGGCGCGTCGTCGATTGCTAGAGGTTATGCATTCGATTCCCGCCTTAAAATCTTACGTGTTGTCTCGTAATGATTTGACCGTGGAGGGTTCTGCGTTGGTGGCCGACGAGTATGAGGCAGAGATGGGCGATTTCGCGGTCCCATTTCGTAAACGAGCGGTGAGGCCTGCTGGGGTAGATCCTCGTGCTGCTAGGTCTGGGGTGGGTTTATCCGATTCCGGCGCTGGTAGGTTATGTCGGGAGGACGTAGAGGAGATTGCTAGGTTGGTACATGATATGATGTGTGGTCGTGAGAATGATCAGCCATGGCGTGCCAGCCCGCAGCAAGTCAGTCGAGGTGCTCTGCACTCACGGGGTTCAGTTAGGCGTGATTATAGCTGCTGGTCGTGTGGTAGGCTGGGGCATTTTGTGCAGGACTGCCCCGAGAGTGTGCGGGAGGATTTCCAAAACGGCCCCGGATCTCGAGGTCGGCAAGGTCATCGGGGTTCTGTGAGGGGCAACCCGAATTAATATCGTGGGGGGACGCGATAGAGTATGATGTGGTGTTCCAGCCTCGGTCCGATTCGGCTGATCCACTTCGGCGGGATGCGGTGTCTTCGAGTCTGCGCCCGTCATGGCAGGTTGAGATACTGTTGTGTGGGCAGCGAGTGCCATTTGTAGTTGACACTGGGGCTGAGCTGTCTCTATTGAATCGTGTCACCTACGACGGCCGTCCAGCGCGGCGGCCGAGTCTCCATTCCTTGGAGGTTGCGTTGGTGGATGTGCAAGGTGGGTCTCTGAGGGCCCGACATGGCGTCTGGGCGGAGTTGTTTCTCGGAGATCAGGATTTTGGCATGAGTTAATCGTGATGGATAGCGGCCTTCGGGGAGGTTTGCTGGGAATGGATTTCCTAAGAAGTTACGATTGCCTGATTGATGTCCGTAGGGGGCATTTGACTGTCGGTGATACATTGCATGTTATGCAGGAGAGCCCGGGGTTAGTTCCTTGCGAGATTGGCGCAGTGGATCGCGTAACGATCCCTGCTGGGCATAAATGTATCATCATGGGTGAGGCGGTTACCCCCTGGGGAGAGGATTGCCTTGCAATGGTAGAGCCGTTAGATTGTTTCAGGGCTGTTATGGATGGCAAGGGTATCTTGATGGCACGGTGTCTGGTAGACATGTGTAATGGCCAGGTGCCTGTTTCAGTCCTGAATGTAGGAGATGAGGATGTAGTTTTTGAGCCTGGGGAGTTATTGGCTCACCTCGAGGTTGTGCGGGTAGTGAGGCGGTTGGGCACTTGTGAGTTCGGTGAATCCTCGCCTCTTCCGGACAGTTCTGGTTTGCCGGCGCATATGCGGGTAATGTTTGAGACAATTGACTCTGGGTTGTCTCGGCGGGAGAGATGTGAGGTTTCATCTCTGCTTCAAGAGTATGCGGGTTTGTTCACTGCTCCTGGTGAACAGCTTGGGCATACGGAGATGGTCAAGCACCGGATTGATACTGGCGCTTATTATCCCACCAAGCAAGCTCCACGTAGATGTCCGTTGGCTCGCCAAGAGATATTGAACGTGGAGGTCGATAAGATGTTGGCATCCGGCACCGTCCGGCCCAGCAGCAGTCCGTGGGCGTCCCCGGTGGTGTTGGTCACGAAGAAGGACGGCTCGACGAGGTTCTGCATAGATTATCGCAAGCTGAACGACGTTACCCGTAAAGATGCCTATCCACTGCCGAGGATCGATGATACGCTGGATTCCTTGGACGGCACCAGTTGGTTTTCTACTCTCGATTTCACCTCGGGTTATTGGCAAGTGGAGATGGATCCGGAGGATGCTGCAAAGACTGCGTTTGGGACGAGGAGAGGTTTTTATGAAGTCTCTGTTATGCCGTTCGGTCTTTGCAACGCACCGGCGATCTTCCAGAGGTTGATGGAGTGTGTGCTTCGAGGTCTGCTGTGGACGGAGTGTCTTGTTTACATAGATGACATCATTATTTTTGGTAAGACCTTTGATCGAGCCATTAGCAATCTCTGTGGTGTTTTCTATCGGATTGCAGATGCCGACATGAAGCTGAAGCCTTCAAAATGCACGTTTTTTCAGAGGAGTGCTGCGTTTCTGGGGCACATTGTCTCCGGTGATGGTATCTGGTGTGACCCCAAAAAGCTCCAGGCTGTCGAGAGTTGGAGTCATCCACACAATGTTGCTGATGTGCGGAGTTTTCTAGGGTTCGCTAATTACTATCGGCGTTTTATTCCTGATTTTGCGACTCTGGCAGAACCGTTGGTTGAGCTGACCAAAAAGAACATGCCTTTTCGTTGGGGGGAGACATGTGAGGAGGCCTTCAGCGGCTTGAGATTGCTGCTGACATTGTCGCCGGTATTGGCGTATCCGCGCTTGGATGCTGAGTTTATTCTGGACACTGATGCTAGTGCTACTGGCATCGGTGGTGTCCTGTCACAGTTCCAGAGTGGAACGGAGAGGGTAATTGCATACGGAAGCAAGGGTCTCTCTGCAGCTCAAAGACGGTACTGTACGACCAATCGGGAGTTACTTGCTGTGGTGACTTTCGTAAAGCAATTTCGGCACTATCTGTATGGTCGTCTATTTTTGGTGAGAACCAATCATGCTTCTTTGACTTGGTTATTAAATTTCAAAGAGCCAGAGGGTGTATTGGCGAAGTGGATTGCTTTTCTGGACACATTTGACATGAGAATCGAGCACCGTGCGGGTAAGCTTCATGGCAATGCTGATGGCTTGTCACGTCAGCTCGTGTGCCGAAAGTGTAAGAGGGAAGATTGTCTGGATTGTCGTCTTCCTAGGGTGTGTCCAGTTGGTCGTCGCGTCTCTCACGATCCCCCGTCGTTGGTCGCAGGGCGGGTGGTCAAAACGAGCACAATTGTTGATCCATCGAGGATGGTTTACCGAGATGGTTTGCTTGGTTGATGAGCATCAGTTGGCTGCTCCTGCGGATGAAGCGGGCGCTGGGTTAGATGGTGTCTTATCGCAGTGGTCTATGCAGCAGATTCGTCAGTGGCAGCGAGAGGATGGTGCCATCTCTGCCGTCTTGAAGGTGTTGGCGGCGGGCGGTGTCCGTCCTGCCGTCGCGGAGTTGTCATCTTCTTCTCCAGAGGGGAAGGCTTATTGGGCACTTTGGGACGAGCTGGAGGTCCATGAGAGAGTGCTTTATCTTCGGCAGGCTTTGGACTGTCGGCCAAGCAGCGATGTTTCGTGTATGGTGGTCCCACCAGTCATGCGCTGGGAGTTGTTCGAGATCATGCATGGTGGTCGGATTGGTGGACACTTCGGCATCACTAAGAGTTTGGCTAGGATCCGGCAGCGTTTTACTTGGCCGGGTATTCGGCAGGATGTTTTGAGGTGGGTTCGGGAGTGTGATTTATGTAGCAGGAGGAAACCAGGGCATCGAAGGAATGCTCCCCTCTGTCAGCGGATTTCAACGGCACCATGGGAGAGGATGGCCATTGATTTCATGGGTCCACTTCCCGAGACGTCATCCGGCATAAAGTATATCCTTGTGGCTTGTGATTACTTCACGAAGTGGACGGAAGCGTTCGCTTTGCCGGATATGACTGCCCAGACAACGGCGGATTGTCTGGTTTCTGAGCTTTTTCTTTGTTTCGGGGTGCCTCGTCAGTTGCACTCTGATCAGGGAAGAAATTTTGAATCGGGTCTGTTTACCGAGGTATGTTTGCTGTTGGGCATCGAGAAGACTCGTACGACGCCCTACCATTCTCAGTCAGACGGGTTGGTTGAGAGGTTCAACCGGACCTTACAAGATATGTTGAGTAAGGTTGTTAATGAGCGACGAGATGACTGGGATACCATTTTGCCGTATGTTTTGGCGGCGTATCGGGGTACAACCCAGGAATGTACCGGGGTTAGCCCTAATCTTATGATGGTTGGTCGTGAGGTGGGGATGCCCATTGATCTGATGTTCGACCCCCCTCTGGGTTCGGCAGATGAGGTCTGTCCTATCGAGTTTGTGGAGTGGATTAAGCGTGCGATTCGAGAAGCACACGCCTTTGCTCAAACACATTTGGGGCGAGCGGCACAACGTCAGAAGAGAGGTTATGACAGTAAGGTGCGTACCTCGACGTTCGCTCCGGGGCAGTGGGTCGGGTACTTCTACCCTCCTGCAGATGTTAAGTTGGGCCTCCCATGGCCAGGGCCCTATTTGGTATTGCGGGGTAAGGGTAACGCTAGATGGATTCAGGCTTCCCCTGATAGTGTAGTGAGAGTTGTAGCCGTAGATAACCTGAAAGTCTACGAGGGTGTGAATGCACCAGTCTCCTGGTTGGAGGATGAGGCTGTTGGTGTTGACGCAGGTGTTGGTGGAGAGTCTGGTAGTCCGGGGGACGTGGTGGGTCAATCCGCGGTTGATATGCGCGGCACGGATTCCTAGATGAAAGATGACAGAAGATTTTCTCTTTCTAGCCTCAAGACACAAGCGGTTAAGTTGCAGCAAGTGGTTGGCCCTCAGGCTGGTTCTGAGGAGGTTCTGGTAGGTTCTGGGCCACTGGTAGCTGGGCAATCGAGGGACCGTTTGGGTGGTTTTGAGTTCTCAAACCCAGTGCAGCGTGCACCGGGCAAGAGGTTAGTGAAAGCTCCGTGTCACTACGGTAATGCCTCCCCGTAGAAGGAGTTGTCAGACCGAGGAGTGACTGTTGGTTCGTGGGGAGCAGGCCATATGATGGTAGCTTATTCGCGTTCGGTTATCGGCAGTCTATTCGCTTGCCATGGTTGGTAACAATTCCATGCAGTCTGTAGTTCCCGGAGTTACTATCCCAGGGTGGTTTCGTGAGACATGCCGATAGGGGGATGGTGTTGTCGTCCGGTCTGTTCTCCTCTTCCGGGGTTGTTTTCTGATAATACAACCTCACCTTGTGTGAGCACTTGGGAGCGGTGTAGATTATGCTGGGCTGGTTCTCAGACGTGTGGTTTTTCCGCTATGATCCTGCGCATCTCTGAGCATCCGGAGCTCCGTGGGGGGCCAGGATGACAGTCTCTCGCCAGCCGCTTGTTTCGGGCGGGTGCATAGGGGCTCTTGCGATTCCTGACCTGTTTTAACGTAGACATGGGAGCCAGATGGCCGGCGTTGCGGGGTAGGGGTCGGAGTGCGGGTTCTATACTGCTAACTACTGACCGTGTTGACCAGCCAAGCCCCTATGGTCCGTGGAATGTTGCACCGTACTGATTCGAGCAGTGGCTGTTGGGGGCACCCGAGGTAGTTGCGCCACGTGTGTTCTCTAGCCGGCTGGTACCGTGCTACTCACCCACGGGCATTCAGATTTATTACCCTTGATCGGAACGAGTTTGGGGCTTGTTCCCCGTTAGAGTGTCGGAGTTTGAGCCGGATTCCGGAGTTTTATTGGTATCCGGAATCCGCACCATTTGATGGTCGAGGGAGTGGTTTGTAAACTCCGACGTATTTCACGAGCTGAGAGCTGACAGGGTTTCAGGCCTATAGAGGGAAGGCTGGTATTGTTTGTGTTCACATGCTACGTGGCACGTGATGAGTGTGTTTCAGGTCATTTCAGGTCAGGGAGCGAGACGGCGAGCAAGAGATGGGTCCCTGAGAGAGTCCTGATTGTCCTGTGAAGGTAATGGGAGAAGAAAAACGAGGTGAGCTGCACAAAGCACTGTGGTTGTGAATCACCATGCACTCGTTTGGGTCGACCGTGAGGGTCGAATGTCGTCGACGGTAGTGATCTTGCGCCTGCGCAGACATGCACGGTTAAAAACTAATGGGCGCATTGCCCTCCTTTGTTTACTGTTGCCGCCGTGTGGCGGAGGTCATTGGCGGACATGGCGGCCGTCCCAGAAGGTGAGGAGGAGGACCGGCCACCCACTAACCGGCCCGGCGGAAGAGAGCACCCGGCCGACAAGGTGGAGGCCGTGGAGACGGCGGCAGAGGTCGTCGAGGACCTGCTCGTGGAGGTGCCGCTGGGGAGCCCGATAGAGCTGGGCGAGGAGTGGTCGGAGATGCCATTCTCCGACGAGCTGCTGCTGTCGCCTCCAGCCTGGGAGGTAGTGCCGGCAAGGAAAAGGCGAGGAGGAAGCCGTCCGGAGGAGAGAGCTCCGCGCAGCCGTCCGCAGGAGAGAGCTCTGCGCAGCCGTCCAGAGGAGGGAGTTCTGCGCAGCCATCCGGCCAAAGGGACGCAGCCTAAAGAGGTGTGACGGAAGCCGCGGTCGGCGGTGATCGTCCGGTATCGTCGTCGGGGGCTGCTCCCCATGTATCCACGAGCGTGGATTGGAGAGTCGTGATGGTGGCTGCGACGGAGGCAGCCAGAAGGGGCCAGGCGCCTCCATCTGAGGTCGCCACAAGACGGAGCCCCGCGCCAGCGACGCGAGAAAGGAGACGGGAGTCTCCTCGTCGCCACCATACCCAGAGGGAAGCTGGGCGAGACCGCGGGAGACAGAGGTGCGAGAAGAGGGCCACGAAGGTCACCTCTAGCCCTGCCCCGGCGCGGTGAGGGGACGGGATGGAGCCCACCCCAGAGGGAATCCGGCTATACCTGCCATCCTGGTGAGGAAGCCAGCCGGGCCTCTGTACCGGCAGACGCACTCGCCCACCCGGGAGCAGCTTCGGTACGGGGCGGGGCCGGCATTCCCGCGGTTCGGAGGGGCCATAGTGATCGCCTCTCGGCTGCAGAACGAGCAGTGGTACTGGTGCCTGGCATGCCAGGTGCCCACTATGCACGCGCTAGACCACCACGCGGAATACCACCGCAGCATCTGCACCCTGACGTGGTGCCCGGTGCCTGGGTGCTTAACGGCCGTACCCAGCGCCGTGCTCTACCGGCTGCGGAGTCATCTGCAGACGGCGCATCACCTGGAGCGAGACCACCACTTTGAGACGCCCGGGTGGCTGCAGCAGCGCGGCGCCGACAACCCCACTCATCGGAGGTCGACGAGCGGGTACCTGCGGCTGCAGGAGGAGCAAGGCAAGGCCAGAGGCCGCTCGCCCCATTACCCGGCCGGCCTGGAGAGACGGGTGGCCATATGCGTCTGTGATGGCGGGCGTTTTGGCCAGGCCTGTGGCCGCTTCCTGGCCATCCCTGAAGCGGGAGTCGAACCTTCAGGCGCACCGGAGGCATAAGGTGCATGCCTCGGGAGCTGCGACGCCCACCGCATCCAGGCGGTGGATGTCACCCGACCGTTCGAGAAGGCGAGCGACGGGGGAACAAGCAGCAAGGGAGCAGGTGCCGCCCGAGAGACCGGCGAGGAGCTAACCAATCCTCGCCGCTGAAGGACGAGTACCGTCGTCCACCTCCCAGGTACCGCCCACGCCGACCGGTAGCGGCTGGCGGTAGTGGTGCCCGCATCATCAGGAGTGTGCCAGATAGGCTGCTGGCAACGATGCGTGCACTGGAGATGCCTGGGGCACCCCTTGAGGGCGACCCTATCCAGAACATCACCACGGAGCAGTTCAACGAGTTTCTGGGGTTGCTCTTCCAGCCCCCAGCCGACCTCCCAGCGTGGGACTACCCCGGCCTGAGCGACCCGGACGGCGGGCCAGCATTCGACCGGCTGGACCGTATGGGAGTCCTCTAGCTGCGTCAGGCACTCTCCTGTGGTAACGCCCAGCGACGACGCATCGAGGGCATGGAGAGGCGCGCCCATGAGTTCCTGGAGGCGAAGACCCGCGTCGTTCTGCGGTCGATGGTGATCGCGAGCCAGGAGAGGGGGGATGTGGCGCGGGAGTGGGTCTCCCACGTCAGGCACCGGTACACCGCCATACGCGTCTTGGAATCGACCTGAGGGTCGATCTTGAAGAGGAGAGGAGTGTGGCGGTGGTACCGGTTGCCACGAGCCCTGTGCTCGCCGGGGTTGAGCTTGCCCCTGGGGGGGGAGTAAATGTTGTGTTTGTAATCGGTTTTATGTTTGTAATGTCTTTCTGTGTGTTTCATTTGCGTTTTGTAAGCATAGTGCAGCAATTACTCATTACGCATATTGCGGCGAGTGCCGTGTGCAAAACCTAGCGTGGGTTGTTGTTGTTTGAGTGTGCGAGCGGGAAGGAGAAGTGATATAGATCAGAGAAGTCAGAGAGTACAGGAGAAGTTAGAGAGTTCAGGGGAGTGAGAAATGAAAGTAAAACGAGTAGCGTGCGAGCGGCTGTCCGGTGATGGGCTACTGCGGGAGTCTAGAGAGGGAGACACACCGAGCGAAGACCGGAGACGCGAGAGAGTAAGTACAGTGGACTGCTGTCGGCACACCGTGAGGGGCTGAGTAATAATAATAGTAAAATTAATAATAATAATAACGTTAACGGCAATAGCAGTTGTAATAGTGATTTAATAGCCATATTTAATAACCCCCTCGAGTAGCAGCCTTAGGCGCATTGGGCGTTAAGTGCGTCCCTTGTGTGAGTGGCCGTACAGGTGTACCGTCAGCCGGCTGCCTAGCCCTCCCATACACATTAAAGTTATATCCGTATCTTTCGAGTAGCCCCGCGTCATAAGGTGCGCCGTGTCGTGTTGTGTTGTGTCACTGTCTGTCCCGTGACGTCCGTCGTCTGGCATTGTTGACTAACCACACCGAAGCCGGAACGAACGCTGGGTCCGGATGAGGGAGCGCAGTAGCATTGAGGCGCTCGTGAGGGAGTGGAGACTGGGTGACGACGATACGACGTACAAGGTAGGAGTATCTATCATGTATCTCTCGTTGTCACTACCCACCGTGTTGCACTGCACCATACGTAAAGTGAACTGGTAGTTACTGCGTATTGTCAGGTGGCGCCCTCAGGTGTCGTGGGAAGACACAAAAACGCTACACATGATTAAAACTTTTTTAAATATTCGGGATCTTTATAGATTTCTTTTAACATTTGTTTTCCTTTCTCTAATATGTCTTCAGTTGTGTCGCCATCTACACGTATAAAACCGACAATATATCCTCCACGGGTAAAATGTGAGCAATCAACATACTTGTCTTCGTTCACGGGATCACACAGGTCCAGTGCAGTCAGAGAATTGTAGAATTCCATGTCAATTATGTCACCTAGCTTCCCAGACTCCAGTATAGACAAGAAGAGTAGGCCAGCTCGCTTCCGCTGTGTAGAAAATGTGTATATTAGTACATTATCTGAACGTTCACTTGTTTGCCTTTTTTGGTCAACACGTACAGTGTTACATGACGACGTATATGTCGTTCATTTGATGCACGGCATTTGGCGTCTTCAGGACCGTAGCCTGACGGTGGCAAGTTAGTGCAGCTGCCCCCTAGATTTTGCAGCAAAAACTAAAGAATAAGCTTGGCTAATAATCGGAAATAACCCTAACCTGATTATGTTGGTCAATTGTCCGTGAAAGCCTTGGCTCAGACCCACCCCTACGACATTATAAACGTCGATCAAGAGCTGTGCCCATCGCTCATCATTAAAGAGTTGAGTAAGGATATTTC